GAAAAGGGAAAAGGGAAAAGGGAAAAGGGAAAAGGGAAAAGGGAAAAGGGAAAAGGGAAAAGGGAAAAGGGAAAAGGGAAAAGGGAAAAGGGAAAGATGATGACTCCAGTGCTACAGAAGCCATATATTGACTCTAATGCATTTTTCCCAGCCTACCATTTCTTTTATTTAGCATAAGAAAAAGAATAAGAGAACAAGAGACGATCACTGGTAGGGAATGGAGTAGGAAAGAGCTGCTACACATAACGACTGAATAGTTTAAAAAGACTGTTCAAAGTCCAGATAAAGTTGCTTAGCAAAATAAAATCTTCAAAGCAATAGCGATGTGATCTAATTTAAGGCCAAGCCTGAAATACCCGAAATTCTTACCACATTAGGTAGTCGTTGCCTACATGATTAATACATAAAATCAGACATTCTAGGATTATGGATCAAGTTTTGTTAAGTCAGACCTCAAAGTTAGGCCCTTAAAAATGCTAAGAATGCACCTGTAAATGAGGCGTATAAACAAAGGAAAACCTGTATGTGAGAGAGCAAGTGAGTGAGGAAGGATTCTCTGCAGAAAGTTGTCAAACCTATAAACACTCGTTTTGTAAAGCTGTTCACATATGGAAGGGCTTCAGCAGGGCGAGCAGTTTTCTGACACTGCTTAGAGCTGAACGTGAAAGAAGGGTGTATTTTTTGTGGCTTTAGCCCACTGCTGATGCTACTCAGATCAGACGCTAATTTCAGGCTTCCCTTTGAAAAATTAGAGAACGTTTATAGGACTGACAGTTTTCTGCAGGGAATCCTTCCTCACTCACTCTCTCACACACACGTTTTCCTTGCTGTCAATGGACTCTTTGGTGAGAGGACAAGAACATTCTGAGCATTCTCTCTCTCTGAGCATTCAAATTTCTGCAGCAATTAACAAATGTATACAAAATATATGATCATATCCCTCAATTACAGAACAAAAGTAAACCACATGCTTGACAAATTGTGTGCAAACTGCATACTTCATCCTTAGCAAAAATTAAAAATGGCAACATTATTGTATTTTACTATCCTCACAACATTGCTAGAGGATTAAAAACGACATTAAAAGTCAGCCTAGGTTAACCAAAGGCCTAAGCCACAACAGAACTCATGCAAGCTCCCCCACACAGTAGATACTAACAGAATAAAGGCTGTAATTCTCAGCCTATTACTTCAACTACTGATTGCTGGCCCAGATCGTACACTTTAATTTTAATGACAGCCCACAGGAGGAGAGAATAGGTTCTCTCTCCTCTCCTACTAATCTTTCAGTCCTTACTAACTTTTTGTAATTTTAGCATCTACTATCAGAAACAGTTACAACAAATATTTACTTCTAGCTATCACTTTCTATGAATATTGAGAATAATTTCCCAACACAGTTCCTTCGAATTAATTTTACAGTGAAGTAACATCTCATACTACACAATTTCTTCACAGTACCTCCCTTGAAGATAAATAAACTCATAAAATCTTACTAAAAAGATCAGGATTTGCCATATTCGACACACTCAGGAACAGAAATGATCTTAAATTGACATTGACAGTTCCCTGAGCTGCCAAAGAAAAGCTGCTTGAGTGCTTGATCTTCTTTTCTAGTAARCTATGCTTGAAACAGGAAAAGGGGGTCAGATTGAGGAGTTGAAGAGATTAGACTGCAGTTTTGTTTTCCTTATTTTCAAGCTAGCCACTAGGATCACTCTCCGCTGGCTCTAAATTATGTCCAGTTGTCTACTGGCCCCAGGGACAACTCCCACAGCCAGAATTAGCTGGAGTGCAGTGACATTTTGACCACACAGAGTCTTCCTTCAGCCTACCTATCCTGGGGATTTTGAGGACGGTGACAGTGGCAGCAGGTTCCGCCAGGAAGAAAAAAATGTAAGTTGAAAATAAAAGTTAAAGAACATATGAAAATATGAAAATTGCGTTTTTATGAGAAGCAAAAACTGCCATGTAACAAAGGGTTCACTTAAGGATAGGATAYACAGGGCATCATTTTCTGAAGAAACTAGAAGTAATAAGGAGACAGTCTCCCAGGGCTATTCCTGATAGGGAAACAACATGAGCAACCATTAGTTGGCCTAAACTACACAATACTGTACAGTCAGCAAGAAAGAATGGATGGTTTGGCCAACTCCTACATGCCATCTTTAGACATGCTTAAATATGTAGAATAAATTTTTCTGAGCAACTGAGATATCTTAGGTGTTTCTCACTATTTCCCAGGGTCTAAATCTTGCCATTCCTACATCAGGCATATTTCCAATTGCTTCAGTAGGAAATATCTGAACTACAAAATTACAGTTTTTTTCTATTACTTGCATTTAATGGATCAAGAATAACCTTTGGCAGACTGCACTATTTCAGTAAACATATTAAAAAAGAGAACTAAAGAACCATCTAAAGAACTAATGAACCATCTAAAAAAAAAACCAAAAAAAAATATTTAATGCATTATATTTCATAGAATTATTCTCTAGGCCAATTTCATCGAATCACAGAATCACAGAATCCTTAAGGTTAGAAGGGACCTTTAGAGATCATGTAGTCCAACTCCCCCGCACACAAAGGGTCACCTAGAGCATAGGGCAGCATCCAGGCAGGTWGTGAAGATCTCCAGGGGAGACTCCACAACCTCCCTGGGCAGCCTGTTCCAGGGCTCTATCACCCTCACTGTTAAGATATTTTTCCTTAAGTCCCTGTGGAACTTTTTGTGCTTCAGTTTGTGGCTGCTTCCTCTAGTTCTGTCAGTAGCCACCACTGAGAAGATCTGCCAGAGTTCTTTGATTTAGTATGACAATTTTTCAGGATTTCTCAAAGAGATCAGCTTGTCCAAAAGAGCAGAAAGGGGGGGAAAAAAAAAAAAAAAAAAAAAAGGATCTGGGCCCTTCATGGGATTTTTACTGTGTTAAACAGGCAAAACTTTTTACAAATCAAGGCCTTGGGAGTTTAGCTAAGATAGAAGAATGTGGGAGAGCTGCATGACCAGAGCACAGCACTTTCACCTGAGTAAAAAAGTTGGGTGCCTAAGATAGTATAAAGATTATCTTTCTATAGAAAGAATTCTTGGCACAGTTACCTCCTCCTCACCCTAAGCATTCCCGTCTACAAAAATTTCTAAATCTCTATAATACCTATCGATTCCTCCTTTAATTCACCAGTTTTTCCAGTGGGTAGAGAATGGCATAGTATAAGCAGAAGCTCTTAGAATCACAATTATTGAACTTGCACATTTACATTTCTCACTAACTCTCCTTCTGGATACTGGAAGGAGGTACTTTTGCTGTCTTAACTACTTTAAGCCTATTCTTTACTTGGATCCTCCAACCTAAAACATTGTTTAAATAGCTGCTGCTGACGGCTCTCTCCCTTTGCCATCACTCTTGTACCATTTCCACAGATTGTCCCTCAGTTCTGGAACAAACATGAATATCCTGAACAGGATTTCAAACGACCAAAACAAAGCAATAGCAAAAATCCAAGTAACTTAAGTAGGCACAATCAAATATCCCACTTCTTACTATCACTGAGGAAATTCACAACTGAGGATCATCTTATCCCACTGAACAGTAAGTATCTGAGAGTTACTCATTTGCACAATGTGCCTGGCTGAGGTATGTTATGTTCCACACACATGTGCTATCTCACCCTCTCCCTGGAAAAGAAGCAGGTTCATTAAATATTTGGTTCAATGCTTTCTAGCTTTATTATACACAAACCAGTTATTTTATGCCTACTCAAAACAGCTGAAAGACCACAAGAAGTAATGGGTATTGATAGGAGAAGGCTCTGATAATCAAATGGATTCCTATATTTTGCTTCTAGACAGATCTTCCTAGACTTGGTCAGATTTTTTTTCATTTACCTGGTATCTATTTGTCTCCTTTAGATTATGAATCCTGGTTGCTCTTTAATCATTCCCTCTTTGTAACTGCTCTTTACAACAGCATTCTCATCTTAATTAGGATCTCTAACCGCTTTCAGACACACAGTTACTATCAATCACAGTAAGTGCTGCTGTGATTCCATTCCAACACAAAGGACATCACAGAGTTTCTATTTATTGGACTTAGGATGGAGAGAAAAACACATTACTTGCACTATTTTAAAATTCACATGGATTGCCCAGTCAGATAAATATCCACCATTATTATTTGAAAAGTCATAGTCCAGCTTGAATTAAAATATATCTATGTATCCATGCATTAAAAAAWATAGTAATTCCAAGTGGAATGCACAATACCCTTTTAAAAAGTTGATTAAAATCTCTAGTAAGACTTATTAGCACTCTTAGCACTGTTAAGTGCTATTCCTAGGCAGGTGGTGGATTCAACCACTCCAAGAGAAACTCCTCTGGCAGGACTGGATTAGACAAAAATCATATTTGAAATTGAAAAGAAAAAAAAAAACAAAAAAGGACAGCTTTCAAAGGCACAGCCTTTTGGCGCCACGTAGGCTGAATTGAAGCTATATAGGCTGAAGTATCCCACTCACAAAATAAAAATAAGAGAAAAAGAAATGAATAGAGCTAATTCATACTTTCTTTCCTTACATGTTCAGGTAGAGTGAAGAAAAGACGTCGACRCCTTCGCTCACACCTCACAGGGCCTGTGCTTGGGCCACCCTGAGGCTCGCCTGCCCTGTTATCCCAGTGCATCCCTTCCTCCTCCAGCTCCCGGAGACCACAGGCAGGCGCTGCCCGTTGCCCACACTCGGGGCAGCTGTTGGAGAACCCCTGTGCGACCGTTGTGCGACCGTTGGGCGACCGTTGGGCGCGCTCGGCCGCCCCCTGCCATTACGCGCCCGCCGCCA